CCCCCCCCCCCCCCCCCCCCCCCCCCCCCCCCCCCCCCCCCCCCCCCCCCCCCCCCCCCCCCCCCCCCCCCCCCACATCGGCAGGGCAAAATATACGGACCCCACCGTCATTCCCGAGCTAAATTGCTTATTCGGAATGGCTGTCAGAGATCAGACGACACTCAGATCGTATACGTCCGCATTTACAAGCAGATCTTCCATTTCGGGACCGAAGCTGATGACTTAGGCACCCGTGCTCGTCAAGCAGTCGAATGGATTCCCCCCGAGCTGAAGGCATACAAAGAAATGACGGACAAGCGGTCAAGCGTAAAGCCTCGCCTCCTGGGATGGAGAAGGGAAACGCAGGATATGTCAGGACTTGTTCCCGGCGGATTTCTTGTCTCCCTAGCCTGGGAAGAAGTTCCTGGCATTCAAATTGGTGACGAGTTTGGCTCCGACCCCCTCTGGGCGCTTCATAGAGGCGAACGCGACAGAATAAGAGAGCCTTCAAAGATATGATTCAGTGAGTTGCAGCCCATCCTTCTTTTGCTTTACTTGTAGACTTACTAATGTTGACTACCATTAGGAATGATTTGGTAAAAATTCCCAAGGGTTGCAAATGGGGGGGACGAGATTGGGATGGTGATACTTCCTTCTGGAGTTCTAGCTGGCAAATCGTCTTTGTACGAGAGATGGACCCTGATCTCAAATATGCGTTGTTGAGTAATCATAGCGAGTCGATCTTTCCACGACAGGCGATGATTCAGATGGCGCAAGGCTTAGAGTATACTCCTGTGATTAAACACAGTGACGTTTACAACGGGGTTGGGGAGATAACCCTGAGGCAAGCATTCGCCCATGTGGTCCTCCTGTCGCTGCCGGACCCGCAGCCAGTTCAAGGTGGTTTGCGGGGGCCCTGGACAGCCAATTAATATCAAGATCTTTTATTATCTTAGCGGTCGTATCTGGTTGGTAGGAATTCATAGGGGTCTATATAGGGGTCCTACGATCCACCCCTCGAGAATACACCCACGTTGCACATCTCAACACTAATGATTGATGACATTGAACTAATTTGAACAAGCAATGTTAGTGATATCCCTATCGACAAAATTAATTATCCATCATCGTCGACGAATAAAGCCTAGCTAATATCTCTCTCTTGTTATGATAACCTATTTCCGGCCCAAGACCCGTGTCCACACCCTCCATTTCAATCGAAACTATCCTACCAGAACGATATGCGCGGTACGCGTTCACCAATCTCTGCCTGTGGGATATGAGCAGCAAGGCGCGCACAATCAGAAGAATCATTATAAGTATCCGAACTGTCCAATTCAATCGGTCAACCCATTTTTCCGCCAGTTCAATGTTTGTTGAGCCAGCCGCATCCGCACCTGCATGTTTACATGCAGCTTCCTGAGCCGCTTTCTCTGCTCTCCTCTTACGCTCATTTTTCCCCATCCTTCACAGTATTGTCAAATAGGCCGTGCAGATATAGTGTTCGGTTCGTAAACAGAAATAGAGTGACGAAAATGCTTAACCAGGTTATAATAGACCACTGAACGCCTTGATCGAGACGCACAAGCAGGCCAATGATATCTGCTATGTCGTTGAAAGCGAGGGCGTTAACAACTTGGCGGATGATACGGGGATCGGAGCTGGTGTAGTAGAAGTTTGCGGCGAGCATGTGGAGAATAAAAGAAGATTCGATGGGCTGATAAGGTGAAATAACGGCGTCTGAAGTTGAGATGATGGGGAGTTGGACGAGCAACTGGGCAATGGCGAATTTCATGCGGATAAACCTGTTTGGTACAGTTATAAGTCACTGGTCACAGGAGAAGATTCGATGAGGCGTCTTGAGTACGAGCTTACCAGCAGAGAGGCTCGATGACAGCAAAAAGTATATAAGGCCAGAAAGAAAAGACGGTAAGGCTCATTGCGAAACACTCCAGAGCTCTTGTGTTAAGCTTCAACAGATGGGTGTAAGCGGAAAGTTGAAGAAAGAGGGACAGAATAAGCGACAAAGACAGCGAATGACTGGTGATATTAAGATTGGAATGACAAAGTTAATGGATGATGTGCAGAACGGAGTAAATGTGGTGTGGGGTGAAAGAGAAGTAGTGCCCTCTGGTAAAAAGTAATCCTTTGAAAGATGCGCGCTTTTTCCTTCCTTCCGTTTCAACTGGAAGTATGACTTCCCTTTTGGGAAGGGGCTCCGCGGCACTTGACGTCTATGTTTTTGGGATAAGAAGTAAAACTTGAAAGGCCTATCATACAAATGCTAGGGGCTATGCCTGGATAGAAGGACGTAACATTTGCTGATCTCCTTCAATGACCAAGATCACCTTGCAGGTTTCAGCATATGCAGTTTCAGCTCTGACTTATACCTAGCCAGTCTATCTTCAAACTCCTCGCAGCGACCACTAGTTGAAGAGTCAATTTCCTCTGCTTTCCAGACTCCACAGAATACTCGCCAGCTAGATCGAAAGATACGCAGCCTACAGAATACTCTTAGTGCTAAACGAAAGCTTTCTAGCAGTCCAATTGCTCATATTCAACGTCTTGAAAAAGCTGCGCAGATGGCTATGCATACCAACCTTCTTTTACAGCAAGAAATCAAGAATTGACGAGCTGAAAATGAGCGAAAATACAAAAAGAAGACAAGAAGGCGTGCTATAATAGGGAATGACATCTTTCTATCTGTACAGGAAGGCCAAAATCGTATTCAGCAGCTTGATACGCAGCTTAATGAGCAGATTGATGAGCCTACACCTGTGCCTCGCCAACGCGCTCCACCACGCTGCAGTGGCTGTGGGACAGTTGGACATACAATA